TTATCTTTTCCAGTTTGATGAGGGTCGTAACAACTTTGAGGGAGCTGTATCAGCTGACGCCGTTACCAAATTTGTGATGGGCAACAGATTGCCCATTGTTGTTGAATTCACACAAGAGGTATTTAACTCTAAAACATGTTTTCTTTTGTAAGGAATTTCAATTTAAATTTGGAAACTATCAAATTGACTTGCATACTAGGCATGGGATGTTTTGATTAAAATTGGATTTTATTGTAACAGAGTGCCCAGAAAATCTTTGGAGGAGAAATTAAGAATCACATTCTGCTGTTCATTAAGAAGACTGAGAAAGATTTTGACACAAAACTTAGTGACTTCAAAGAGGCTGCCAAAGACTTCAAGGGAGAGGTAGGTATTCAGAACATGTTTATTTAAACTGATGAGGTATTTTACAGCTGATTGTAATATATTATCCCATGTTTACCCCTTAATCTCATGGATATAACTCTTTAGATATTTTTTGGAAATCCTACACTTGTGATGTCACAATGGGTTTTGCATTAGAGTGATGAAATAAAATGTAGACGTCTATATAATAACTGTGTAAACATTAATGGATAAAGCATGGGATAAAAAGAATCTCCCAAGGCTTGGGATAAAAAAAACAACTTGTTGTATAAAAATCCTCCTATACTTAGCAAATTGCCACAGATAGATTAAATCTCATTTCTTGTCCTATGTATCTATACCAATTAGCTATAAATTTATCGTATGGCTTTTGAGTAATGTAAATTTTAGGAGGGCAATATGCTTTACATTGAAAGTATCTTCTCTCGTGAACTAATGATGGAAAATAACTACCTCCTTGTTGCCAATGGTTTGACAGAATTTTACTTTATTGTTTCATGTTGCAGGTCCTGTTTATCTACCTCGATACCAGTGATGAGGACAATGCCCGTATCCTGGAATTCTTTGGACTGAAGGCAGAGGAATGCCCAGCTGTTCGTCTGATCACCCTCGGAGAGGACATGACCAAATACAAGCCAGAGTCTGACGATCTGTCCACAGAGGCCATCAGAACATTTGTCCAGGGCTTTAAAGATGGAAAACTCAAGGTATTAACTTACAACCAAAGTTTAGGTGTTCTAGAAATAATTTCAACACATCAAACTGTTAAAATGCTCATTTGTAAGATATTTATTTTGTTGAGATACTTTGAGAAATCATAAACTACATGTTTTTAAAAACAATAGGGAAGAATTTGTAAATGGGCATAATTATTTATTTTACAATTTCAGAAAGAACAATTTTGAAATATTGTCAATAATGTTTTGCAGCCACATCTTATGAGTGAAGAAGTGCCAAGTGACTGGGATTCTAAACCAGTTAAAGTTTTAGTAGGAAAAAATTTTGTAGATGTCGCTTTAGATGAAAAGAAAGATGTATTTGTAGAATTTTGTAAGTAAATATTTCTCATTTTTAATACTTTTGAATGAAAGTACAATAATTGAAGCAAAACTAGAGATTAAAAACTTAAACCAGAGAACTAGCTGTTCGTATAAACTTGAAAATGGAAAAATTAAGATTCGCTATAAATATAATTTTAAATCCATAGAGCTGGTCTAGCAAGAAAATGTTAAGTCTGTTCAAAATATACTTTTCCAACTTCTGTCAAATTTAAAAAACACAACTTTCACATAGTTTGTGTGAGATTTTCCTTCAGTTGTGAACTATTTTACTTGATTCAAGAGTTCATGATATTGTTTGCAGATGCCCCATGGTGCGGCCATTGTAAACAGTTAGCCCCCATCTGGGACGAGCTTGCAGAGAAATTCAAGGACAAGGATGACCTTGTTATTGCCAAAATGGATTCCACAGCCAATGAAGTAGAGCAGGTCAAAGTTCAGAGCTTCCCTACCCTTAAATTCTTCCCTAAAGGCAGCCAAGACATAGTAGATTACAATGGAGAAAGAACTCTTGAAGCCCTCACCAAATTTGTAGAGAGTGGTGGAAAGGAAGGAGCTGGTGAGCCTGAGGAGGTATGTACAACATAACATTAGTTTAGTTTTCATCCTGATAGGCTCGGTTTTCATTGCAAAACTAAGGCATAAATTGAGACCAGTAGTTGGTCTTCATCTTGGATAAGCTTGGTTTCAATGCATAGCCAAAGCTGTAAACCAACACCCCATTAATTAAATCTTTGTCATGAATAAGATTTTTTTTCAACTACTATTTTTTTATGCAAATTTGAGTTTTTATTGCATTTTGGTATTGTACATTATTACTTGTGTAAACTTAAATGTATATAGCAGGTAAAGAAAAGACATTTTTCAATATCCAGAATTGCTGAAAATCTCTAAGCTGTAATAGAACAGTAGATTCAATCTTTCATTAAGTTTTGTTTAGGTAATATGTACAATAATGTCAGTAGGTATATAGGTATTTCATAATATGTAAACAATCTATTTTTAGCCTGAAGAGGAGGAGGAGGAAGAAGAGGAAGAAGAAGGAAAGGATGCTAAGGATGAATTGTAAAGAGACTCTTTGTTTATACTCCGTACCAACAGGATCTCAGTGAGAGAAAAATCTGTATTCCATGTCCTCAGCCTTTTCATCTTCTTTAAATTAGTTACAAAAAATAATGACCATGTTGATATACTTGAATGATAAAAAAATTGTTTTATTGGCCAAGGCACTTCAGCTGTAATAAGTGCTTTAATTATTAAATTGTTGGAAAACTGCTTAGAAGTGCCTTGTGAGCCATGTTAAAATCGGGAGATGGGCATTGTTTTATTTTTTTCCAACTCTGGATCATTGAGGTTGTTGCATTAGTATTGAGGCAGCTGTGCACTTGATAACACTGTAACTAGTCAAAGATCAACAAAAAAACAGAGCTTGTTAGACAGTTGGCATTTCTTATTCTTTTTTAATTATTGATTCATTCCAGTTATTTATTTTTTGTCCACTTTAATCTTGTATATGATGTTTTTTTTTTCTTTGTCAAGATTTAAGTTTTAATTTTTACCACAAGTTTAATAAATACAATATTCTTCCATTTTTGAAATCATGAAATATTTAGAAGAGGGAGAGATCATTATTTTTTCCCCTGAAAATCAAACAACTCATGCGGGATTCGATATGTGTGTGTGACTGTGTGCATGTGTGTCTTTTGATGGTGATTGATAAAAGAGTCAGTCTGAATGATATTGAAAATTCGGTGCTGTTTAGACAGGAATAATATTTAAAAGTACCAGTATGTTTGTCATAAATGCTCATGTACTAATGTTTTGTACATGTTTATAATAATTTGAAAATTTTGAAATGTAGGTTAACAAATAAAAAAACAACACAAAATTTATTTGACTGTATAATTGTCTTTTGTTTAATATTGAAAAGAAAAAAACTGTCTGGTGGAGAGGGCATAGACTGAGAAATACAAGTGAAATATCACTTCTTAAAAAACATATGATTTGATATAACCAGTAATGTATTCAGATTGTGGCAATGTCATAACAACAACAATGGTATTAACTATGCAAGTAGAATTGGACAAATGTAATGGGATCAATGTTCTATTCCCAAGACTAGATAACTAGAGAATTGAAAAGGCATTATGTACCCCAATATAGGCACTACTGTATAAATTTGCATTCTTTGCTTACAATACATGACTGTCTAAGCATGGGGGGACATATAGCCATTCGTTATAATTACACCAAAATAAAGTTCTTGTGAATTTAAAGAAAGATTCACAGTATTAATGTTTTGTACAGAGATTTTTGTTTATCTGTGGTATGTATTGAATACCACTGTGTTGCTGACGGGAAATTCCAACTTTCTCAACAAAGATGTGCTCTATTTTATGATTGCACAGACCTGTAGAAAGTTTCAGTACAAGTATAAAGAATGAAGGATGCACATCTTTACTTATTTAGATAGCTGTCAGTTTTCACTTCAACCTTATTGTTTGGACAGAATGGGAAATGAGATTGCATGACAAAATACAGCAAAATAATACTATCATGGTGGAATGGTATAAGACGTCAAATTCAAAGATCATTCATCTGCTTGGTACAACTACTGAGGTCATTCATAATGCAAGGGTTAGGCTTTGGATATTGACTTGCACAGCATATTACCTGACTAGTGATGTAGGGGTCCCAACACCCAAATTCAATTCCTGGTCCAGACATACATGTATATTTTCTCCTTTTCTGGTACCGGTACATAATTTGATGCTGTTAACCACCCCTTGATTTGAAGGTGAAAGTTCTGTCTGGGACAAAAAAAGAAACTTGTCATGGGTGGTGTCTTTATGAACCAAGACAATTTAAGGAGGGAGGAATAGTTTGGACCATGCTCATAATGCCTGGATAACTCAGTTGGTAGAGCAATTGACTAGTAATGACAATGTACAGTATAGCAGGTAATTTTAGCGAGGTGCTAATTTTGGCATTTTGATTATAGCCCGCTAAAATTGTGACCATTATCTTCTTCGCTAGCCAAGAGTTTCTGATACACTACTCTTCTCATAAACCCTTGACATGCAGTGCCGTGAAAAGACGGGATCATTTTCGTCATACAGTCTCAAATTTTGAAGAGATACGCACAAATTGTATCATCATCAGAAATAAATAATGTATTTAAATCATGAAATTTATAAAGAATAATCAAGAAAGTATTGATTTTCCATTTGTGATTTAAAGAGAAAATCTACATCTTCAATATAGATTCTAAGTCATATTTTGCACATATCTTAAGATTTGGATGACACCATGTCTATTCATAGAATAGCATGATTATGATCATTGTTCACTTGCTTTTTTCATTCTCGAGAGTAAAGAGTGAAAATATATCCTGAACGCAGATACCGTCATTAAAAAAAAATCCTGATTGGTTGATCAATGTTGATCCACTCCAATCACAACTTGAGAAAAGAATCTCAACTTCTTTAACACCGCATGCCAAGGGCTTATGAGGAAAGTTAGCGCATCAGAAACTCTTGGCTAGCAAAGATGAGCCATAATAAACACTGAAATATCTACATGTATATTTCTTCTTTATTACATTCATATTTTATACATTTTCATGTTTAACTACTGTAGATCACTTAATTTTCGCAACACCTTATTTTCGCTAAGTAGTCATTGACTCTTTATTAGCGAGACAAAATTTTCACGAATTATGGTCATTGCTCTATATAATCGTAAAGAATTCTATGATACGCGAGAATGAAATTTTCACAAGCATACCGTCTCGCGTAATTACGCGAAAATAAAGTTCTCGCCAATAAAAAGTGATTTACAGTACATGTAATTTAATATTGCACACAAAGCCCTTTTCTCAGTATTTTTCATGCCTTTCACAAATTCATAAATAATGGCACATAACAGACTGACGGACAACATTCAATCTGTGGTCCATCTTCACAAGAATCTGTCATTTGGAGACAATAATGGCCTGCTATCTAATGTCTGCTTCACTTTATCACAACAGGATTAGACAGTCTAAATATAGATTGCTGAAGCATGGAGCTGATTCCAGAAAACATGTCCTCAGATATCCCCTGTCAAAACAAAAAATATTGTTATTAATCCTGACAAACAGATGAAAATTACATAACAGAATACAGCCAAAACATATTAAAAACATTATTTTTAATTATGCACATAAATGATATTTGTTTTATGACTTTCTGCTTTAAAAACATACGGGGGTAATTGAAGCATTTTTTAACCTTAAAGCAGACATTACTTGCAGACAGGGGTCTTATTTTTCATTTTTATTAAATGTGAAAAATCAAGGCTCTAGAGTTTCAGCAAACAGGCAGTAAATTTTATCCAAACTTCCATCAGAATGAAAATCATTCCATTTGACAGTGTGTATTGAGAAGAATTTTTTCTAGGGAGAGGTTATCCCTCTTTGTCTATTTCCTTTTACAAATTTATTATCCTATAAATAATTATTAACAGTCCATACTTAAAATGAGGTTTCATAATACCTAAAATACATTATTTTCATAAATATTTTATGAGTTATATCTCTCTGTCCATTTCCTATTACAAAGTTAGTATAATTCTGATCAAAAACACCATACATAAAACAAAAGTATTGGACTTTAATGTTTTAAAAACTTGCTTATAATCAAGTTCCATATTGTGTAAAATACATTCATTTCATCACACTTGGTCAAAATCTTATTCTGAAAGATAACATACTGGAGGGACAAGGAACTGAATGTTAGGAGACTTGTATCCACCATAAGCTGCCATCTCCATCATGAAGCCCTTGACACACTTGAACATGAGCTCCACTCTCTTCTGACACCAGGGAATGGTCATCTCCTACAACAGTAAAACATAAGACATCTCAATCAAATCATGAAATGTTCAATCAGAAGATCCAAATATCTAATAAGGGCACTGCATAACAGAGCATCTCTCCCAAAAAGCACTTCTATAAATCAAAGCATCATTTAAAGTTGCTCCTGATGCATATTATGTCTCTTCCATTTCATACAAATGACAAACAAGCACATTACTCTCTCCCGTTCATTTGGTTGAGAGGGAATAAGAAATTTTAGTATAGGGACTAGGCCTAGTAACTCATTTTGAAAGAAGAAGAGGTATGGTCAGGGTGTTGATGTCGTAACGGAAGCAGAGCTTGATGATGTTCCTGATACTGAGTATAACAGGATGACGAGAAGAAATGTCCGATGACTTCACACTCTCTGAGGCCTTTTTCCCATCGTCTGCCACCAGGTGAAACACAACATGGACCTCAGACAGATTGGAATGTTTGGTCAAATAGAAGTCTCCTGCTCGCAGGCCATTATTTTTCTCCTGAAAAAATGATTGGCTATTCATAATATTTTGAAGGAAAATTATTCTCACAGCAATTTTTGAAGGAATGAATTTGAGTAATAGCGAGCGCAGCGAGCTCAATAGACTAACGTGTAAGAACAGAGGAAATTCGGAATGAAATAAATACATAAGTCAGGCAAATTTTTATGTGAAACATTCCCAGAATTCCTTTAATACCCAATGTCCTTTGCCCGAATAAATAAATTAAATAAATAAATAATAACGTAAAGCATAAAAGGCTTTCAGTTTGTAGAAATCTTTCAAAGCAACAAAAAATAACTCTGCAATGTTTTTCGACCAAAGCTATTACAATAGGTCTTTAGTTTCGGCCAGACGCTCGACTGTCTCTGTAAGCTCCGACGAGCTCTGTTACGTCGTGTGACGTCAAAGCTAGCCGAGATGTCTCATGCGGCTTGATGTTTCAAGTGGCTGATCAATTTTTCATGTGTTTTTGAATGGGGTACAACTGCGCTTG